ACCCAGCAACTTGAGTTGAATCTGCTGCTTTTCTCTCTTACATTTGTTTCATTTCCCTCTGCACTTTCTTTTTGTCTTTTCTGCATCCCCCCCCCCTCTTTTCCCTCCTCAGTCTCTCTGTCCCACTGCATATTAACACTGTTAACCTCCCCTGGTTTTAATTGAAATGAAAAAGCTTGACATTTTGCATGTTTGCATGTCTGTATCCGCATGTGTGTCTCCTTGTAATAGTATTTCTCAGCATCTCTTATCACCTGTCTCTTTTGGGAAGAGGTCATATGAAGCTGAAATTGAATTGCTCCCTGAGACTAAATGTGTTGAAAATGTTCATTACTATCATCCAGTCCCCTCCCTCCTTTCTCCTCATCTTTTCACATTTCTGTCCACCTTTCCTACTCTACAATTCCCTCATTATATGTACTTAATAATTATATTTCTGCTGCTTTCTGTGTGACTTTATATTAAAATATTAATAAAGGAAAATAAGAAATGAGAAATATCTATACTTAACTGCTAAATGCCCTAAATGTAACTGAAAATAAGTACATTTTTAGACTTCTCTGTTGCTCTTTGTGACTGATTTTGTGTGTGTGTGTGTGTTTGTGTGTGTGTGTGTGTGTCCTATGTCTCTTTACAGGTTGGTTGTGACCGTAGCAGTGCTCTCGTCCAAATCTGTGCAGAGAGGGGTTTCCAGGCGTTCGTATCTGATGCTCTGTATGTTCCTCTGCGGACAGCCTCCTGTGATGCCTGCATCTCCATAGCTGTCATACACCACTTTTCCACACAGGTACGCAGTGTACACACACTAAAGAATAACAGGCGCACACATTGGTGACCTCTTCATTTCTATAAAAACAACAATATAGCACCTTATCTGAAAGATAAACCCACACAGAAAACCAAGCACTAAATTGCTAATGAGCCACACTGTAGGAATCTGGTTAGGATCTCAAGAACATTCTCAGTTTCAAACACAGGAAGGTTTCTCTATTTTTGGCTCCTAGGACATAGATCCATATTTGGGACAAATCCCCCTGCTCTCAAATTTGTATTTTCAAATGGGCCTGGACCTGTTGGGATGGAGTTTGTGGTACTGAACGTCACTTAATTCTTGTTGTGTTATTCTTAAGATAGGAAATGTATAAACTTTTTTACGGACATTTAAACTATTTTGCAAAATTCCAAAAGTTTGTTTATGAATTCATGGGTGATCTAAATGGTCAAATAAATTTTTTGTGTGTTGTAGGAGCGTCGGCTGGCAGCAGTGAGGGAGCTGGTGAGACTTTTGAAGCCCGGAGGTCGAGCGCTTATCTATGTTTGGGCTTTTGAACAAGAGTACAACAAGCAGAGGTCCAAGTACCTCAGAGACCAGAACAAAGAGCACCCTGAGAGCAACAGCCCCACTGAAAACACATCAGAAGACAGCCAGCAACCTTATGGGAAATCAAGTATCCATACCAGCAGACATTTAAGAGAGAACTGCACACCTGTAGACAACCTACAGGATGTTAGCAAAGTGACTGACGGCAAACTTAGTGTGCACACCAACCGCACAGCCTTCAACACCCAGGACCTTTTGGTTCCCTGGCATCTGAAAGAGGGGAAAAGACGAGGCGAGGAAGAATCAGGAGAGGGAGGGAAGAAGGATAAAAGGAAAGAGAAGTCCAAAAAGATTTTGGGTAACTCCACAGCAAGACAAGACTGTAACCCTGACCCCAGTTCAGGTTTTGACTCCAACACTGTATCAGGTCTTGACAGCAGTGATGCCACACACAGCCCAGACTCTAAACCCGGTCCAAGATGCGGCACCGCTCAGACCTCCAGTTCTACTCTAAAGTCAGAGTCTGAGAGCAGCCCAGCACCTGTTTTTCACCGCTATTACCATGTGTTCCAGCAGGGGGAGCTGGAGCAGCTCTGTGGTCAAGTAGCAGGAGTCAAAGTGCAGAGCAGCTACCATGACCAGGGAAACTGGTGTGTTATATTAGAGAAGGACTGACTCAAAAATACACATTTCAGTAATATATAAATTCTGTAATGAACCAAGAGAGTTAAGGCAATGTTACCACAGACTCATTTTAATAATCCTTCATTTGTTTAAATGCAGAAGAGAAAAGTGGCATGAAATAAACAAAGATTTTACAAAATGCCTGCCTTTTTTTTTTTTGCTCTTACCTTTTGCATCATTTCTTTACAATTGATCAAGGTGGTGTATTACACGGTAAAAAACCTGATATATTTAGGTTGAAAAAGCCAACAAAGGTCAAATAGTAGATTTGGATTGGTGTATTGATTGGGACAATGCCCTGAGTGCTAGAAAGGGTTGACTGGTACATGGCCTGAACAGTCCAGCTGCACTAAAGTTAACGTGCAGTACCTCATCATAGGTTTTACATTAGGCTACTGTCCTTTTTAGAATAGACAGACGTAGTATGCCATAAGTTTACAGAAAATCATCAAAGGGATAAAGATTTAACGTTCAAACACATTTTATGGATATTTAGCCGTACGTTTGCTTCTCACGTGATTGGTTTCATTTGGAAAATGTAGCATAAACATGACATGCCTTCATATTGGAATAGAATGGCTGAAAAGCAGGTAATTTAACACCCATCATAAAAGCTATTAGAAGTTACACGCAAATTTTATATGCACTGTATGATATTGCAGTCAAGATTTGTACAAAACACACCTGAAAGCACCTGAAGTATCCTCTTGACACAGTACCTTTAACTCCACCTCAAGTGCTAAGTTCTTTGACTCTGTCCTGGTTAATAAAATTAAATGTTTTTTTTAGAAAGAGTTCACTATATTGCTTTGAGAAGATCGATTAAACATTATTGGAATTCAAATTCAATTTTTACATCCAGTTAATATTGGAGCTACAACAATAATTCTTCATGTGCCTTACGATTCTGGTGAGTGCCATTAATCAGTGCTGCAACTGACGTGATGTTTAGCCAGCTCTGCCTCCCTGAACCATACAGCCGCTGATCTAAGTTTTCCAGTTTAATTAAAAATTCTCCTGTACAATTTAATGTGATGTTAAATGGGATTCAGTTTTATCAAAATAAATGTTTTTGTGTTGTTGCTGTTCTATTGGATCAACTGATGATCAATCAATACTTTATTTCAATATAGATTTGGTATAATGGGGGAACAAAAAAAGTATGACTTCATCACTCTTTCTTGCAGTCACACACGTGTACACACTGCATCCTATTAACAAGATATGTTATGGGGTATTGATTAATGGGTTATTTGTTGTGGAGGTAATTGGTCAGCGGCTCCTGGTAAATGACCCCTGTGGCTCCTCATTCCTCTGTGACCCACACAGACATAATGTGGTGCTGAGGTGAGAGATGCTTTGGTGGCTTTTATTGACAGTGGTTTATTGATTAAGGTGAAGGCGTGTATGTGTGTTCCTTTGATGTTTCAGGCACAATATTGTGTGTGTGAATGTGTATTGGAGTGTTATTGTGCATGTATAGTTGTTGAGTCTGTTGCTTGACATTTTGTGTGATAATTAAAAATTTAAAGGTGTGCTGCCCCCAGGTATAAGTCTGTTGATTTGACAGGATACAAGACATTTAAAATTCAGCTCACAGGAGTCAAGAGACATTTATACTGAAATAACAGCAACATATCCTTCCCTGATGGGTTAGTGATATGTGTGATTGTACATTGTTGAAAAGGGAAACCTTCCAGGGAGGAATGTAATAGCATGAATTAAGAGTGGATTAACTTTAGTGTGCTTTTGGTCTGGAGCTGTTCCTACTAAGGGAAATATTAATGCTACAGCATGCAATGATATTCCAGACAATAGGATAGCTTTCAATTTTGTGGCCACAAAACAAACTTGGCAGACACAAAGCTCTGACCTCAACCCCATCCAACACCTTTGGTATGAACTTAAACGACGAGAGTGGAGGATGTTACAGCAACATATTACTTCCAATGGTTTTGGAAAGCAATGTCCTACAATCTTGTAATTTTAGAATTACTGCTACCACTATACAATTTCTGTCTCTGTGTACACGGCATCTATTGCATGTCTGTTCATCCTTTAAGATCCTCTGTTGCACTTCCTGGGGTCTCTCCCTTTTTTCCCATTAAAGAGTTTTTTGTGGGTCTAATTTAGGATAAAGGGTATCTTGTTCCATAAAGGCTGTAATGCCCTCTGAGGAAAATGTGTGAATTCGGACCATATAAATGAAAATGACTTGCACACATAGGTATAATGTTTCCATAGAAGTAGAGGCCATATATATATATATATACTATGTCCTAATATTTCAACTTGTATGTTTACAGAAAGGCTGAGCAAACACACATTGAGCTAAAACCTAACTGACAGTCCTGTTTGCAGCAGGTTTACACATAACAAGATGCAAATTTGTATTAATGGGCAGATAACATTCCACCCTCGTTGTAAACGGACAGTGACTCTCTTGTACCTGTTCACACATGTTTGAAGTTTTAAGCTAGTTAATATGTGCGTGGAGGCTGTTATGGTGTTCAGTAGATGTGAAATTGAATGGACTTGATAGTTATATGTATTGACAAGCATTAGTGGTAGGTATTTACAAGTAGGTACTCTGTCGCCGATGCTGTCACATCACAAGGGTTTAACCACGATGTTGGGATTTATATGCATCCGTTGATTTATTGTTTTTTTTTCTCTCTCTCAACATTTATAGAAAATAAAATAGGAAGTAAAATAAAGTCTTATAAAAATCCGAGAGGGGATTAATTAAAACACAGTTCGAGATCAAGTAGTTTTTATGTAATTTTAATATTAATACGTCTCATGGATTTTAAAGGGAAAGTTCGTTTTAAATACGTAAAGAACAGGAAGTATACATCAGTGTAAATAATGTTCTGCCAACAGAGTTCAGTTGTTTATCTGCCTTTTTGTCTTGCAAAGAAATTCAAAAAAGCAATGTTACTATATTTGGAAAGTTGAGATAATAATTTGCTTAGATACACTCTGCCATAAGTCAACAGTTGAAGTAAACGGCAGCGCTTTACGACGTTTAACAAAAACATTATTGACGACAGTGTCATGGCGGCGCACGGAGTCAGTTTTGAGAGTACGAGCAGCATCGAAGAAAGAAAGGAGAGCAAACGTCAGGCAAGACAAGAGGCGATAGAAAAGGTAGAAACTCTACGCTTAGTCATAAAAAAACATGTGATTAATCTAAGGTTAGCCTCATTGGTGTCAGTTAAGGCTTAAATCACGCCTGTTTGGTCCGAATGAAGCTAACAAGCTAAGAAGGCTAACGTTAGCAGCTAACGTCTCGTTGACGTGAGGATCGGATGAGCTTTGCGGCTCAAAGGTGTCCTTTTTGCAGAAGTGGCCTTATTCGTGATGTAAATTGGTATATTTGCGTCTCTTTTCATCCCTCCCTTTCTCTCTCTTGGAAAGCTAACAGTAACTTACCTGTGTGTCTTTACATTAACCTGCCAATGCTTGTGTCTGGACAAACACTGCTGGAGCAGATAGGGAAGCTGTGGCTGTTTTTATAGGGGTTTATGTCATGGCAGACGATGACAGCTTCGTTTTTGTAATCGCAAATGTACACAGTTTTTTTTGCCGTGCAGCTGTGTTTGCCAGATACACAGAGCAGACGAAACGCTGCTTCCTGTAGGTGAGCACTAAAGGTTGTAAACACATTATCTGCCCGGCTCACCTGTGCTTGAACTGGCCAAAGCAAAGCGTGTGTGTATCTGGCTTATTATGCTGAGTTTGAAGAGGAATCGACGCATAATTACTAATAATAACTCCTCAGTGTCACTGTCTTTGTATCCAAAAGATATAACTGTGCAGATTAAAACCGTTGCTCAAACATAGGTTCGCTGGGGAAATGGCCCCACCACTTTTTTGAAACTGCTGATTCTGTCCCCAGCACTTCATGAAAGCTTTTGTTAAAAATGGTCTGAAAACAGCTTGCAACAACAAATGTTAAGTAACAAATGATGTTAAATATAGAAGAAACAAATGTGCATTGTCCAAAAAAAGTAACTTAAGGTAAAAACAATTATATTCCATTATATGTTTTTATATTTTGAATTGTCACCTGCCACCTGAATTTTGTGTTTCCCTTTCTATAATAAAGACGTTGAAGAAATACAGTTCCACCATAAATTGGTGCTGGAAATTTCTCCAGAATACAGGAAATTTGGTGTTTAATGCTCAAAAATTTCTGGAGGACAACCCCCACACAACCTCCACTATATTTTAGCATTTAATATTTATTCAAAACACTGTTAAAAGATCCTCTCGCCTTGTTCTCATGAACCCAATATTTTATATGTCTTGTGAGCATAGTGTAGGCCAGGGGTTGGCAAATAAGTCTGGCATCGTGCCAAATTTATTTAAAGTCAGTATATGGCTGGCCAGAAAATAATCAATTTATCATTTATAATCTGTCAATTAATGTGTTCCTGTTTAGCTCAGTCAGTAGTGCACAGGACTCCTGTTTGAGGGACTCCTTTTATTTTGTTGGCACAGTCACTTAAAAGGAAGTGATTATGTCAGTAACATTTGCTGTAATGCTTGAGAATCAAACACTATCATTGTGTTTTTTTGACTCTATCAAAGTAATCTGGCCACGGGCCAGATATTATTGCTGGCACCTGGTGTAGGGTATCCTCACACCCCTAATCTGAGCCCTTATGGTCCTATCACTTCTCAACACAAATTGCAGCCATTGTGCTCAAATATTTGAAAATCATATCTCTTATCAGCAGTGTCATGGCAATGTGAAGACAGTGCTGTTCCTTTTTGTAATGAGAAAAATGTCTGTATTCCTTTTTCATCAATATGAAGATCTTTTCATCATTTTATATCAGCGTTTCTGTTTCAGCCTTCATAATCACTCAGCTCTACACTTTATTGGATTGGCTTTAGATAGACATGTATGAAAATGCAAATGCTGGTTTACCCTTATCTTGATCTGTTTTTCTTATTTTCATTTTGACCCTTATATTCATCGTGTCGTTCAGGCCAAGCAGCAGCATGAGAGGGAAGAGAGGAGGAAAGCGCTGAAGAGGCAGAGAGGGGAGGACACTTGGATGCTCCCAGAGATCAACCAGAGGCTGCAGGAGCTCGGGGATGTGAGAAACAATGTTTCTTCACTTACAGTTTTCCATATAATCAAAAAGTATACAGTGCATTTAGAAACACACCCCTAGGTGACTGGACACACATGAACAAAAAAACTGGAGACAAATTATTATTTCTGCATACCCTGTGTGATTGAGGACTGCCTTTAATAATACATTGCATCTTAATAACAAACAACAGTGCAATCAATGAAGACTAAAATAATTAATGGAATCTGAAACCCCTACAGGAGGGCACTGTGAAGAGTAAGAAGAAGAAAGAGAAGAAATCCAAAAAGAAGAAGGAGAAGAAGAAGGCCAAGAAGGAGAAAAAGCCAGCAGAAGGAGATGGATGTAGTGACAGCTCAGAGGTAAGTTATTAAGTCACTTTTCCACTGCATGTGTCCTTTCAACAAGTTCTCAAGGTAACACCTGAATAGTACCAGTGGATCCTGCAATACTGGTCGTAACTGAAAGAATTCAAAAGTAACTTCAATTCTGCTATACTACATGGTGAATGTTTTGTAGTCTACCATTCCCGGTGTGAGCTGTAAAATTAATTCCATACAATATAAAACAAAATTCTTATTATACAGGGGTGCCAGTTTTTAAAGATGTGGTATTATGGTTTTTGCCTTTTTCCCCTCTCCTTTATTGAGTTATATCTCTTTTTTGTGTATTTAATAGGTTTGCAAAGTGAAAAAGTCCACCGCAAAGGGAGCTCCCATCTCCCATAGAAAGCTCTGCTCTGAACTGCCTGAAAACAGCTCGTTTGTAGTCCAGCCGTTTCCCTTTCATCCCTGTGATGTCACAGGAATGAAAGCCAAATGCGTGTCATATAACGTTCGCCAAGCGGTTAGTCCGACACGCCCTCAAAAACACTGGTGGAAAAACACTGAGCTGCAGCACACACCTCTCCTCTCCCTTCCAAACACTAGCTACCCTCCAAACAGTCCATAGACAAAAAGTTGTTACTGTGATGTAGAGACAGAGCTCAGTTAAAACTTTATGGATGAAAGATACTTTTGTTACAGATTAATAACTCACCACTCTGAAACTCTTGCTCCAGTCCATGTTGCCAAGCTGTAAAGGGATACAGCTGAACTGAAGCCATGTTTACCAGCTTCTCACTGACCCGCCCTTCTCTGCTTGTGATTGGCTAGTAGTCCTTAACTACGAACTGAGCATTCACTCTATAGCTAAAAAGAAGCGTTCAACACATAGGGTGAAAAGAGGAGCCGCAGCAATGTGCAATATGACAACAATGTGGTGTTTTTTGAAAATTGAACCATGTAAACCTGGTACCTGGCACAACCCCTAAAGAAGATTTTGAACCTAAAAATGAGCATAATACCACCTCTTTAAAATGTCCTTCATTTATCCATATTCCATCCTTTTGTTTTGATATGATAATCTGTCCCACCGTTTTCCTTCTCCATCATTTTTATTCTCCTTCCTCTCTCTCCATCTATGTGTCAGGACTCAGACGAGGAGTGGGTTGAGGCTCATCCTCAGACACAAGCTGCTAAAGCCTGGCAGGTTCCTGATGAGTCCAAGCCTTCAGAGAGCAACCTCAACCCAGCCCAGAACATCCAGGTAACTTTTTTTTTACCCACAGACACTGAATAACGATGTGAAATAATGTTGTGCCACTCAAAAATTTACATTTAAAACCCTCATCTCTCTTTATGTTTTGTTTTATTTCCATTGAAGATGTTTCTTTTAATTCACTGACTCATCTGCAGATACAGTGATTGCCAGCTTTACTGTAAAGTTTTTAAAATTTTTTCACCATAGATATGAATAAAGATTAGGGGTGTAACAAATCCACGGTTCGGTTCAGACCTCAATGTTTGAGCCACGGTTCGGTTCATACCTTGGTTTTTCCCCCCTTGTTTTTTTTTAAGGGGAGGTGGCATTATTATTATTATTATTATTATTATATTATATTCTTCTGTAGTTTACAGAAGCCCGTGATTTAAAGATTTATTTACAGTACAATATTAAACAAATCCATCCATCCATCGTCAACCGCTTATCCTGCATACAGGGTCATACAAGGATTATACAAATACACAGGGAATTATAACATTAGCATAAAGACTGAAATTTTAATCTCTTGCTCAATTTGTTTCCACAAGCTAAGAGTTAAAGTGATCTGGGAAAGTTTAATAAGCGATTCAAACATACAGCCTAAGTAGTGCAATATATTTTTCATGTCAATAGTACTATTGACAAAAAATATTAATATTAACCTCCATTAATTCTACATAAACATTTTAAAACTTAAACTCCGAACTTGATATGCATGTTTCCACACCAGTGGAAGCTGGATATTAAAGGCTGGCAGTAACAGTCCCATTGCATGTTGGCGTAGTAAGCAGGCACAAATAGAAAACCAAAGACAATAACAACCAGCATTATTGGTGCATCTGTTTATTGAGGATGTCCACAAGTGTTGCATATAAAATGAATTAAAACCGAATAAAATACCACAATATAATAAAATAAGATTAAATAAAAGCGTCAGCTAAATGAGTAAATGTAAAACACAGAACAATAAAAAATGTGGGTAAGGATCTTAATTGAAACAAAACTTTGGACTAAGATTAATAAAATGCTTATTTTTAAAGATTATATGATTATTTAGATTAACAGTGTTAAACAGCTGAGATAAATAAGTTTTATTTAAAAAAATAATTGTCCAATAATAAGTAAGTTGAACTTTTGCTGCATTACTTTACAGTTGTTATCGTCTTCTTCTTCAAATTCTGCCTTCTATTCTGATGAATTTTGACCTACACCGAGACCCGCGCCCACACCAAGCCCCTCACTCATGCCACTCCCCCTGAGCTACAGCAATGCAGCTGGACCCTTCTCCATACAGGGAGAGAGACACAGAAAAAGGCGGAGCAAGCTGGCATGTTTGCCGTGAGACACCAGAGGTGCAGGCTAGGTGTGTGTGAGTGTGGGGAGAAGAGAAGAGGAGCAGATTCAAGTAGTAAATAAACACTAAAATACGGTGGAAAATTACCGAGAATAACCTACTGTCAATACCAATACGATATAGGCCTACACCGCTGCCGCCGCAGCTGCAGTAGCACTGTCTAATGAGAGCTCAACAGTCCGGAGAGCAGGTGTGTCGCGGTTCTGTCTCTCGGATCTGTGACACGAGACCATGGACTTTTGTGTCGTAAATTCAGAACCGTTTGCCCTAATAAAGATGCCAAATAGAGCAAACGTGTTTTAGAGGGAACATCGAGAGGTATAAAGAAGTTCTGTGTGTGCATTGTTTGCTTCTTCTGCTTTAGAACCAAAAAGTTACTCACTCATTGCAGCATCCTCCATTACTGAGAAGAAGTGTTTGTTTTTCTTTTTGCGTATGTGTGCCGTGTGTCCCTGACAGCATAGTTGCTATGTGTTAATTATCATCGGCCTTCTCTCAATCTATACATCTTTCCTTTTCTTTGTTTCTTTATCTCTGTTTCCAAGAGAGACGAATGGATGACCTTTGACTTCTTGGCAATGAGTACCACGTCCACAGCCGAGAGGAGGGCTGAGAAAGAGCGACTGAAAGAGGAGGAGAGGGCAAAGGCTCAGGCCATTGAACAGGTGCGTTTGTTGTTTTTTTTCCCCCCTTTTCTCTTCAGTTTGTAATGACCAATTGCCCTGTACAGTGGATTTTGATCCTGTTGGACAGGAGACGTGAAGACAGCTGTGTGGTTCCTTATATGCATACGTTGTCCTCATTTGGCATGAAACATTAATGATCATTATCACGATATAATTTTCCTCAATAACAATGTAACACATGTTCAATAAAGGTTCAATAAATGTTTGATTTAAATAGTTTGAGTTACGAACGGATCAGCACTATAATAAGATATTTGTTTTGTTGAGGAAAAGGGACTAAAAAAAAGATGCCATGCATATTTGTTGAAAAAAGGTTTTAACATAATTGTTTTACCTCAGATTTGTTAAGTGATCCATTTTTTGGCATCAAGTGTTTGTCACGTTATGAACATAAAGAAAAGTTTAAAACCACAATGATCTGACAGTTATCATGATAATTATTGATATTGAATAATAACTTCTTTTTTTTGCCATATTGCCCAGCCCTACTTCAAATGTATCTGTTATTTGAATCCTAATGCAAAATGACCTGTATGCCTGTGTGAGAGGGAGTTAAAGAGCCATCACGTTTGTGTGTGCATAGATTGCACACTATATAAAAACATTGACAGTCTCCTCATTTTGTGGTTACCAAGGTAACAGAGGTTGTCACCCCTCAGTCAGGAGTATACTGTGTGTGTGTGTGTGTGTGTGTGTGTGTGTGTGTGAGCACGCGCATGCAAGGTGTTTTGATCTGTATTTTTAGCATTTTTACCCCTGTTGTGCTGTTGTCAGTATACAGAAATGATTCAGGTGCTTGTGGTTCCCTCAGGCTGGTTTACACAAACTGGAGCTAAACCCGTACTGGAAAGACGGAGGAACTGGTCTGCCCCCAGAGGAGAAGGCTGGCACTGCACCAACAAAAGGTAACGGTGATCAGTAGACTGATTCTGTTGTTGGTCCATTTAAAATAGATTGTATAATCAAGGTAGAAGATTTGTGTTACTATTATTGATTGTTATTCTATCTACTGTAGATACATGTACTGTATGAATATGCAGAAGGCATACATGTCTTTGTGTGCTAATGTCTTTTTACTTTATTCAGGTGAGGCCTACGTAAAATCTGTCTTGGGGTTTGTAACAATGCACACTGCTGCCATGTTAAATACTGGTACAATAATCACTGAGCTTTAACATCTCATCTTTCCTACCTCTGAAATCTTTTTTTCCTTTTACATACCTCTCTATTTTCCTGTTTGTACCTCTCCTCCTCTCCTTGTGTATCTGTCAGCTATTTGTATGTGTTCAATGGATATATAAGAGTAATCTTTCTGCTGTCACTCCTCTGTTTCTGAGGCCCCATTGGAGGGTTCCTGATATTACAGACAGTCCACAGTGACCCTACATCCCCAAATTCATGTTTGTACACCAAACTGTACGCTTTAAAGAAGATTTGTGTGATTATGTCTCTCAGTCCTGCTCAAAATGAGATGCAGGGCTGTCTCAGTGGGAGCTTCTGTAAGTTTGGGAGGCACAGCTTCACTGGCTTCCAGTGGGAAGCGGAGTGGGATTTAGTTGGTGTGTTGAAAGTTCAGGAGAAGGGAGCATTGAATTTTTATATCAGAGAGAACTTTAATGCAATTGCGTATGTGGAAAAGTCAACGTGGGGGTTTGACAGAAGAACGAGAGGACAGATAGAGCAAGGGAAAGCTTCTGAGTCAGGGATTTAGGGAAAGAAAGCGCTAGAGAGAGACAGACAGACAGAGCAAGCTGTGTTAGGCTGACAAGCAAATGCAGGTGTGTGTGTGCATGTGTCTCTTATCTCTACACAGTAAGTACAGTTCCCAGTAGAGTTGGCATGGCCTCTGTTGTAAGCTTTATTCTAACAGCAAGGCAAAATATGCTGACGCAAACATCACACACACAAACGACAAACACACACATATTTCTGCTTACTTTTTACCTATAAACTTTGTGCCAAATGTTGTTTACTTCATCTTGCGTCATAATTGCGGGAGGTACAGACTGGTGTGTGTGTGTGTGTGTATTAGTGTTCATTTTGAACATTTGTTTGGGGAGAAAAAGGGCAAGGAAACACTTGCTGGTATATGATCAGGCGACATGGGGTCAGCTCCAGGGATGTTTTATTCAGCTTCATTGTTACATTGTTTCGCACTTGTGTTAAAAAATTGCCATTTTATCAATGCTGGTCAGTGTTAAGCTGTAACTTTTGTGGTTCTTTTTTTTTCCTTAAAGCAGAGACTACAGATGATTAACCATCGCCACATTCTCAAACACACTGAATCCGATACTCAGTGTTGACCTTGACCGGAGGTTATGGGCAGTACATTTGTCACATTTTATCTCTATGGGAAGTTGTATGTTGTTTTTGAAAGAGCATTTGTTCCCCATGAATTTAAGGACTCATTTTCACTTAATCTTTTCTCAGCCTTTTTCCTGGATCTGCCTTCCTCTGTTCCTCGGATTTCTTTTTTTTTTTTTTTAGCTTCTCACAATAAGCAAAATTAACCCATGTTATTTCCTAATACCTCCACTTTTTAATAAACATTTTTTGCAACATGCCATTCTGGTTGTGTGATGTATACTTTAGTTTTCTTTAGCATAGTAGATTTCAAGTAGCTTCATCATTTATGCCAGTGGTCGGCAATAGGCGGCTCATGGGCCAAAACTGGCCCACCAGTAATAATATCTGGCCTGTGGTCAGTTTACTTTGATAGCGGCAAAAAAAAAAAAATGACAGCAAAAGTTACTGACATAATCACTTCCTCTTAAGTGATTGTGCCTACAAAATAAAAAAATGCATGAAAAGCAGTACTTTGTCAAGTTTAATTGAGAGCTTTTACTATGAAAAGTTCTGAAGGAAATTTAAGAGTCTGTGGCTTAACACACTGGGAAATGAAAATAAGCTTCCATAGGTTGATGGGACCAAATGCCAGGAGGCACACATTAAAACGCACATGTTAAACAATCTCTTCATAATCAATTTGTTGAAAAGGGAGAAAAATAAAACCAGTAGTAAGTGGGGTTTGAACACACAACCCTTCGAAGGGGCGTCATGTCCACTACTGACTGAGCTAAACAGAAACACATTAAATGATGCATTATAAATGATAAATTGACAATGTTCTGGCCCATCATCTACTGACTTATTTGCCAACCCCTGGTTTATGCTCTCGATTTTTTATTTATTTCTAGAGTAAATGACAATGTTGTAGATATGACAGACTCACTGGAGGCCCAGAATTAATTAACTGGCAGTAGTAAGTGCGTCTTCTTACCCGTTTCTCTCCATTCTTGCAGGCCCCGTAGTGAATGATGGAGGTCTGAGCTGGCTGAGGAAGAACTACCAGAGGATGAAGGAGCAGGCAGAGAGGGAGCAGCGCAGCCTCAACGATGTGGTGGCTGAGAGATACGGAGTGAGAACTAATCGGCAAACATTTACACATTCGCACGCACAGTTTAGCAGCGACATGCGGTTACGTGAAAAAGGCCACCAAACAGCTGAGCATGTTGCATAATATTCAGTTTGTTGTAACTGGAGATTTGTACATAAACACATTGGTTCCTAGTTACTCTGACTTACCTGTCACGGTAAACACACACTGAAGTCAAGGTTTTGCACGCACTGCGGGTAGGGATGCAAAGATTACAGATTTTGTTGGTACGATTATAGTCTGAGGAATAATAATGGTTTCAGGATTATCATGATTATTATTCATTAATTACTTTCACATCTCTAGTAATGACTTAAGTTGATTTTTAATATTTAATGACATTAACAATTATATTTGTATAATATGTAAGTATTATTAATATAAGAGGAATATTAACTTAATTTATCCCCAAAGGGAAATTGTTATTAAGGAGGGGAATAAACTGAACTGTCATTATCAACTCTCATCCATACATACAAGTTTTAGAGAAAATGATCTCTCACGCCGTGTTATTAATAACTGAAATGCAGTTAATTGATAGTCCTGGAAGTGTATAAGTTCCTGATGTTACGTTAGTGTTTTTACACCTGGCAACATTTTCTCAACATAGACAAGAGGAGGCAACAAGATGTAGCATTAAAGGTTCAGTGACTGAAGGTCTTAAGAGAACTACGTTCTTCCATAAAGGCCCTTTCAGAAAAGAAGCGATTTGCACTGCGTGGAAGCTGGGTTCAACTACTTTGACAGCGGTGTTCGCGCACTCCTCATGCGGCGCGCGTTGCTCGACACAGCAACAAACCTCTGTTGGCACAAGCCATTGAAAATAATGAGCCTCATAGCGCAGCAGTGCTGTTTTTGCGGGGGGTCAGAAAGGTTACACCTGCTTTGTTTGTTTATGTTGCACTGAAAGCCTGACTCACCGCTACGGCATTGATTGTAAGAGACACGTTTTATATTTAATTCCCTACAAACTTGCCTCATTATTTAACTCTGTATTACCTTTAATCGGGCGTGCAAAGCTGGGTGGTGATCCCGCAGGTGCAGCATCAAGTTTGATGTAGGTATTCGCTCCTTTAGCATCAACCTTTTAATGGCAAGTTTTTGAACAGATGATCCGTCATCTTCCGTGACGCCCTGGTCAGTCTTGGTGTACCCAAAATTCTCTCTTCTGCTGTTTGTTTGGTGAAAATAAAGCCTCACTCACAGTTTGGTCTCTCTGCCATAGTTTAGCCAGTGTACAGTAGTAGCCTCCATATCTCTGATAAACACAACACTTTAAGCTGGTGCACCGCTCGTGTAACTTTTTGTGCAAGTTGCAACAGTTTCTTTCCCTGCAACAGAAACACTGAGTGTAGCGGAGCCTTTACGATTAATTAACTGTGACGTTTTAAAGTGCGGTTAATAGTAAAATCCGGTAATCGCTGCATCCCTAACTGCGGGTTCATACACACACATACTCGCTCTCTACTGTGGGAGGAATGTGTGTCTAGATACCTTGTTTTATTATTAATCTGTCTCTTTGCACACGGTGCTCACTGTCACTTGTTGTCACTTTCAGCAGTGTTAGCATTTGTGCCTCCAGTTGACAGCATAGAAACTGTCACTGTCAGAACATTGTGTATATGTGTGCGCGCGCTTTCTTTTTACTTTGTCAGAACTCAGCCAGCTACAGCAGTACACAAAGATTGTGTTTTTTCTAGTAAAGCAGAAACATCTTAGATACTGTCATTGTACATTATACAATATAATCTTTGTATATGTACGTGAGTTTTTAAGGAGTTTCTTTGGTATTTGTGTAGCTCTACCTCTGGTTTTTGTATGTATCCGTCGAGTTCCAGTACGACATATTGTTAATGCTGGCAGTTGTAGTGAGGATTACCCATGAATAGCTGAGTAGATAGTGACATAGTGAGGACCCATCTTAACAGATACAGACGATTGATTTGTGTTGAAGGGATGTTAGCATTTAGTTTTTTTGTCTATGTTATTTCCACATTTTATTTTCACAATAGTTAATTTGTTATTGCTAGTTTTAGTTTTGCTACATTTGAAGACACATCATTTGGTTTGGTGAATTGGCTTTCAGGCTATTAAGGTAGCCAACAAAGCCAAAACTATGTGTGTCACAGTAGGGAGCGGAACCCGGGTCTCTTGCACCAAAGGCACGTGTCTTATCCACTGCAACATCACCACCTCTGAAACTATATCGTAAGCCTCTTTAGAGACCTCAGGAGGCAAGTGACCAGACCCTTTTGATTAATAAGTCATAGTAACCTGCAGGAAATCTACCTTCACTCTACAGACTGCTGCTGATCAGTTATTTGTTTTTTATCCTATGTTTTATATTCCATGCAGACTTTGTTGGACATTTTTCATCTCCAGATGGATTCTTTGGATCTGAACTGTGAAACTTTAAAATACTTGAACACTTTCTTATGTCTTGTTTTTTCTCCTTTTATAGTCAATGGAAGAATTTCAGCAAAGACTTGCAGACGCTGAGGAAGCTGTGTACGGGCAGAGGAGAGGAGGAGAAGGAGACAGACAAGGAAGAGGCGGGTGGAGGAAAGGAGAGAACGAGGCCAGAGAGGGTTGGAGGAGAAAAGAGGAAGACAAGGTAGAGAGAGATCGGTGGAGAAGAAATGAAAGGGAAAGAGAATCGTCCCCGGACGGAGAAAGATACCATAGCGGAGAGGGGAGGGAGAGGGGAGGGTATCGAGGCAGAGGGGAAGAGAGAGGTCGAGACGGAGACAGGTTTAGAGAGAAGGATAGGAATGGAGATAGAGAGAGGGACAGAGTTAGTGAAAGAGACACTAACAATGATAGAGACCGAGAGAGAGATAGAGGAAGAGACAAGGGCAGAGATAGGGACAGAGAGAGACAGAGGGATAGTGATAGACAGAGAGAAAGAGATTGCCCCAGTGTTGCATCCTCCTCCTCCTCCTCATCATCATCATCATCATCAACAGGGCAAAATTGGAGTCACCGTTCTCCCTCTCTTGGGTCATTAAAAGGCCGCTTCCTCAAACCCTCAGAAGATGATGAATGTGGTGAAGGTGGGTCCATATCAAGGCCTTTTCTAATAGACGTCTGAGCTCTGGGATCTTATTTGGTCTAACTCATGTGGGTTTAACCTTGTGCTTTTTTTACTCTCTTAATTTCTGAAAAAGTATCTGCTCAAGTTCTATCACAAATCAGGAAACAAAAAGTATTTTTTTAAATGGTTGACATAATCTAACATGCCAAGAGTCATGGGAGCCTTAAAATACTTTATAATTTCTTTCCTGCGCAGCCCCGCAGCGTCCTCCTCCTCCTCCGCCACGTCCGTCCACGGGATTCCTGAAACCCAGCTCTGACGATGAAGACTCCGGTCCTCGTAATACCAACTTTCCAGCCTGGAAGAAGAACAGCAGTCCTGCCTGTGAATCTGACAGCTTGGAAAAACCACAGCAGGAGAAAGCGAGGGATCCTGTGAAAACTGCAGCTGCTCCTCAAGACGGTCTGCGTGGTGATAAAGTTGCCGCAACGACATCAAGGTTTCACGCCTTATTTTTAAAATTTTGTTGCCTTGAAAACATGGTTTGCTGCAAACTATCACACACACACACACAGCTGAAAATGCCCGTTGTATGTGTGTTTGGGTGGATATTATGAATGATTGAGTCCCATTAATGCCATTTCCCATTCCCGTTACTGTCCACTCACATGAAACAGGAAGTCACAATCATGACAGCACTACCTTTACATGTGCTAGTGACTTTTGAACCATTAATATCTGTATTTTGCTGTTGCATCTGTTTGAACAAGACAGCAGCTTAGACGGATAAAATCACTCCACAGTCTCATTCTGAAAAAGATTTGTTTTTCCATTTTCCTTAAAGTACAAATAAGGGATATTTAATCATGTGCTTTGGTCAGCCCGTGTAGTTATTGGGTTACAAGTTTGATTCAAAGTGGGGCCACACACACAACAAAAACTACTTGTGCTAATGGAGCTCACGTTACTGTAGTTAAATAACATTACCAGATACTTTGTCACAGTAAACCCTTCCATAAAACATGGCTGGCCCTTCGCATATGTATTTGATTAGTTTAAAGAGACCTGTTAGAAGAAACTGGTATCTGTTTTTGAAAATTAATCTTGATACTCCCAGAAAAAAACTCCCTATGCCTCTGAACTCTGAGTCTGTAATTCATAGGTAGTGTACTATGTCTTCCTTAATAGTTGTCTTTCTGTCCAAAGCACTATGTTTAGTAACAGACATTTAGACACACATAAGCTCTTAACTTCATAGTGCTGTTTTGTGTTATTGATGTCAACCATCAGTGAATGGATGAAGGTTTTTCCGTCATCACAGAGCATCAGTTATCAGCTCCCCCACACAGTATTTCAAATGTCTCTCTTATCTTATCAAGTCTCTCATCCTTCTCCTGTGTTTCATGTCGACCTCGTCCATTTTTACCTATGTGGTTATGCATATCCCTACGCTAAATCTGCAACACACATGAATAGTCTCCCTGATTTTATGGGAACACTAAACTGCAACAGCACTAAGTGGCATAGAAACTGTTCAAAATGGTTGCATCATGAGTGTAAATGTTTTCCTACTTTCATGGCAGTCCAACATGTAGCACCACTGTAGGCCAGATGTTGGAGAATCACTGATTTGTAAAGCCTTCTTAGTTGTTCTGTGTTTTGCCTCATTAGGCTAAGTTGTTTGGGTAAATCAGCACGTAGAACCCCCTGCAGCATGAAATGAGTCTGCAGTGTGGCAGCAGAATGAAATGAGCCTATGAGAAGTGTAATAGCCTAGAACGATGCTTCCCAGGCTGCAGTTCAGATCCTCCCAGGCGAGGCTGTAATGATCTCAAATACATCATAACAGATCAGAACAGAGCTCGGAAGAAAACATCTAAATGGTTAAATAAAAAAATAAAAAATAAGTTTCCCATTAGGACTATTATTAAGCTGGAATAATTAAGTCATTAAATCCTATTATTCAGAATGTGAGTTATGCGGGAAATCTGGAGGAAAAGAGATGGAGAAGCTCTGAACAAAAGGACACGTATGTTTGTGTATCTTGTTAAGGTTGTGAATTTGTTAAATCATAAATTGGTCACATACTGTGCTTGAAGTGAAGAAATCTTTCTTGAGTTTCTGCCTTTTTTGGTCTGCTCTTCAAACCCTCCTCTTCATGTTTACCTAGGAGTGAGAGTGAAAGTGAGGAAGAAGAAGAGGAGGGTCCACTGCTGTCAGAGGAGGAGATGAACAAACTGGGAGCCAAACTGGTGAAGGCAGAGATCATGGGCAACACGGTGAGTAGGTTATCATTATGTGGAAATTACCGTGTTGGGCTAAATAAATGACAACCCTAATTACAATACAACCCGCTATTTTCCAACACCTGTTTTAGGAAAAATAATTTTTTCAGAAACTATTTATTAGCCTAGTCGTGTTCTGAAAGCTTCTCTGAGATACGATTAGTCTAAGGGTAAGATAGTCCTTGTCTCTGAAGCCTTTCTCTCATAAAAGTGAAACATGAATTACTTCCATTAGAGCAGCAAATAGATCCCACATTTTCATCAGTCATATAGTCGCTCTCCGGTTCTTGCAAGTCACTGGCTGTTTTCACTCATCAAGAGTTTATTTTAATGTTACACAAACTCTTGTAGGTCAGACTGGGCTTATAGGACTTACTATGTCTAAAAGACACCTTATAAACTACTTTGCTAGTTCAGCAACATTCAGGCTACAAATATTCCATAATATATATACATATATTCCACTCTTGATTAAATGTAACTTATGGACCAGTATTGGCTGGCCCTCTTCAAACGTAATAACCTGTAAACAATATTGTCTGATATTTTGTCCGACACAATCTTGCCATATTTTATTTACAATTTTCTTTTATTTTAAGAGACTAATCATACATTTATCTCATATAAAACAAACATAAATTATTTATGCATAAATATAAGTACAACAATTAATATACCAAAGAATGAAAGAAATATTTCTCAATGTTAACAACTACAAAAAATAAATAATAACTACAAGGGTTCATTGAGCTTTTACTCACTGTGGGATGATTCAGGTTTGTTCTGTTTGACGGTGGACTGTCATTTCATTTGCTTCAGCTTTATGGGGAAGTAGCAGCTGATTTGCTTTTCCACAACACATTTGCTTTGACTCTTTTCTTTGTGTAGATTTAACAGCACACCAGGGGATCCATGAATTTATAGCGTTCATTGATCTGTTCACTTAACTCCCCTTCTGTCACGTGTCGATGCTAAGCATGCTATTGGGATCTCTTACAGAGAGTGTTAAATTCCTGTTTGTTACACACACACACACTTTTACATGCACTGCACACATTCACTCACACATATAATGCTAAGTGTTACCAACCTAACATCTACAATCTCCCTACACGACAAACCAATCAAACCGATATTCCCAAACCTCTTTGTGTGTGTGTGTGTGTGTGTGTGTGTGTGTGTGTGGATTGCATATAACAGTCATGCACTTGCCTTTTATGCCTTGTACATAAAGGTATTGATATCTGGCATGGCAGTATGGCTTAAGAGGTTCTTTCTTCTTTAGTGTTTCTGTTTTACAGTGTTCAGGCTCAAAGCCTTTTATCTGAATGCTATGTATTAAAATGCAGCCTATAATACATTCACATACTACTGTTTCTGTGCCTACATATACATTCATATGATATTTCTGTGATAATCCCATAACAACTGTTAATATTAGCCTTCCAATGCATCTGCCAGGCTGTACGTTTATAGGCTTTATATCGGTTTTGAAACAGGAAAAACAAATGTGGGGTAGAAGAAGGGGGTTCCCATCTTCATTCTTATATTTCACTTTGTAAATCGATTGTGTGTTACCAAAACTCTGTACACAGAAGTACTGTCTGATACTGCAGTTTTACCATTAAAGTTTTATTTAAAAATGTGTGTGTTTCAGGCCATGGTTGAGAAGCTGAAATCACAGCTGGACGCAGCACATAAAGCCAAAGACAGCTACGCTGCCCGAAAGAAGCTTCAAGAAACAGCTCAGTTAAAGCAGGTTTGTAAATACTATGTGTAACTCTTATGATTTATTGTCACAGTCATTGTCTAATTAATGTACGAGGGTAGACAAAATATTAGAAACACCTCCCAGTATAAAGAAATACAGTGAGGATGCGGCACCAGCCTCCAAAAATCACCATGAATTCAACATTTATCTTAAAGCTGCAGTTGGTAACAATTGAACGTACAGTGCAGAACCACGTCTATAATAGATAAAGGGACAAAATGAAGAGCAACCCACAGTTTCGTGCCCCAAAAAGTAAAAAATGATTGTCTTTTAAAAGAAGATGGAAGAAAAAAAATGGGACTTTTTTTTTCTCCATGGAAATTGTTTTTCCACTTCATTTCTACTCCTCTCCTCTTTTTATCTGTCTCTTTGCTTTCTAAACACTTGCTATTTTTCCTTGTACTGAGATCCACACAGTGCTATTTCCCCCAACACACACACACACACACACACAAACGCACTGCAGATGTATAATTGCACAAATTCCCAGATACAGACACACCACCCTAAATTAGATACATGTACACTCAGTCTTAAATCATGCCCAGATATAAACATATGCAAACACAGCGATAGATGGATACAGAGAGTCACACACAGCACTGAACCTGACACACATACACACACGGAAACTTCCTGTGTCAGATTTGTCTGCTAGCTGCTTCTTCCCTCCTCTTCCTATAGTCTAAATGCTAATCCAAACACTCAAAGGCTATATCTTTTCTAAACTTGACACACACACAGCATGTTATGGCAGCATCCATGTCTCTGGCTGTGCAGGCAAGAAGAGTGCCTCACACACTCGTCTTCAGCTGAAGATAAATTCTCCGCTGTTACGTCTAAATGCTTTTAAAAGAAATTTGTTTGTTTGAAGTCTCTTTCCTGTTCCCTGCTTGGCTTTCACGTCTTGCTGTCTGTATGGAAACGGCTCCTGTTTGGCGTTTCAGCAGACCCTAATGGGAAACAAATGTCTTTCAGTGTGCCGACGACACTCTCCTACCGTTGGGGGTCACTCGGAGTGTGCCCCCCTGTGTTTATGTGTGCGAGAAAAGGAGAAAGAGAGAGACTGAGAGGGAGACAGAGAGATTATTTGTGCCATCCTGTCTGCGTTTGTAGTACAGGCAATTAACAGAGAGCAATGACAGTGCCCTGACACTTCAGCGCTGCTTTATCTCCCCTCTTTGGCATCGCTAATGTCGTTTCTGGCTACACACACACACAAATATGCACGAAGAAATGGTGGCCTATTTCCGACATGGTCAGACTCCAGACAACTTTATAAACACGTGGAAAGCAGGGTATGATTATTTATATAACCTGTATATTATCATTTGCGAGTTAAGCCAGATTCAGCCCCACTAAAGCTGTCCTGTCCAAATGAAAAGACTCGGGTGAAATCCTCTGTAAGGTTTCGCAGAAAATGTCATAATTCTTAGGTTTTAGTGCACTTATCAGCTGAGAGGTACTTCAGCCCTCTTAGAGATGGAGTGCTGTTGATTTGCACTCATTCGGGATCCTTCCAACCTGTCTTGTTATGGAAGACTTTTGGCTTGTCTTTGCTATTCAGTGTTTTGACTCTTGTTGCCTGTCTGTTTCATATTTACTGTTTTCACTGCATGTGGAGCCTCTCAGTGAAAACAGTGTCGACTGGAGCAGTGGAAATACTCTTCTATCAGTTTCTTGTGACTCTCTCCCATGCTCTCTGCTACTCCCACCTTGTTCTTGTTTCTTGGCCTTGCTTCTCTACCAGTCAGGTGGAACTTTTACAGGCTGTCTAATCAGACACCGGCTGCTGTTACATAAGGGTATAGCTTCTCATAACAAGCAAACGTTTTGATCTTTGAAAAATACGGACCTGTTTCGGGCGCTAAATTGGCTCTGAAGCAGCAGCTTTATCAGAACATACTACTGCTGGAGTTTTTGAACTCCCCAAACTCAGTAACATTTAATCAAAGGTTCTCTAAGAAAAACATTTACAAGTGCTCTCTACAGCATTTCACAACACGTTGGTCTTCAACTTTTATTGAACTCGGTGATCATACACAGAAAATATAAGTATATTTTTAAAAAAGTAGTAATTGGAATGGATGTTTACCACAAAATATTAAATCCTAGGTACAGATTAAACCCAGCCCTATCAAACCTAATGACACTTATTTGGAATGAGCCAGATTAATTTATAAAAGATATTTTTATTCTGATGGAGCCCTGAAGGTAAAACTCAACTACTTCCTCTGTCCTCCTACTACCTGAAACACATCTGCTGCCTTGAATCCAAAACATTGCCAAATGCTTATTGTTAAATTTGACCTCCTTTCCTTTATTAATCAGTGATGCATGTGCCTCCAACATAACACTGAGGTTAGTTCAATTGGTAATACTGTATGTTACAAGACTAATTAAAACACACTTCTTCTTCGTGTGTTGCATGTCAGTTGCACTGCAAATTCTAATTTTGATTTAAACTTGTAGCTTTACGGCCCTCTGTGATGTAATGAATACATACAAATATTTAAACCTTTTAGGAGTACTGTCAGTCTTATGCATTGCTATACAAAGACACACAAAAGTGAAAATGATGTGTTTATTTGTAAAAAACAATTAGGTTGCAGGTCGATCCAGGGAAGACCAGGAGGTCCTGCTCTTCAGAACAGACCATTCAGGTCGGGCCTGGCCAGTCAACGCCCCCTCGGGACCTCAGGAGCCTCACGGAGGACGTCGGAAGAAGAAAGCGGTAAGAGAGAGAGGGATGCGGAGTGGGAACATAACAGCATGGAGGAAAGTTTTGTACAAAGTGGATTTAAAAAAAAAAAAGAAAAGAAAATGTAGCACTGCACATGGTAAAAACAGATCTTGAACTGCACTAGAAAGCCACCGCTTAAGGCAGCGGTTCCCAAATTGTTTTAGGCAACCCTTATACATTATACCCGTTTTTTTTTTTTGCTTATTTATTTATTTACTTATTTATTTGCTCAATTTCCTGCCCACAGCGCAGTCTGATTCTTTACACGTCGCAAATAATAGCCACTTTCTTCTAACACTTTCTTCCGTTGAGCAGCGGAGCTGTGTGTGGAAGAGAAGGCAGCCAATATGACTGAAGGTGCAATAAACATCAAAATATGATGATCCGTTTCTATGACCACAAGCAGCGCAGTGTCCGTGTTACACCAGTGAATATGCCCGAACACACTGCTACGAGGTTTCACTTAATGACACAAGAAGGTGACTGCTTAAACCAGTCGCTCTTACCCTTACCCACTCACTGCACTTAAACCCAGCATGTTTCTGTCTTCTCTTACTTTTCACTGCTACTCTGCATTACGATGTAACGTTATATATTTATTGCTTTAAAAAGTGGCAGTAAAACGTTTTCTCATACTGTGATGATTAAACTTTGCAATCAGTCCACAGTTCACCTGCGTGCCGAACTGTGCGGAGGGAGGTGGAGGTCTTTTCATGACAAAAAAAAAATGTTTCAAATCATCCTCTCCTCTGTTTTCTCCCAAATCGCACCCTGTTATGGCCTCATAAACAGATAACATGGACAAAAGATGATTTGTTAGTACAGCACGGGTGCCTCAGCCTGAGAGAGAGAGGGAGGGGAGAGAGAGGTAGAGGGAAAGAGGTGTTTGAGTAGCCATTTCCTGTGAGCTAACTATTAATAATAATGTTTTTTTAATTTTGAATTAAATTTACAAAGGAAAGTTTTCAATTCAAGTTTTTATTTCATGAAAAATTCCATAAAAAAAATTATTGTTGTATTTATTACATCACTACACTACCATTACATTTTTCCTGATGCGCACCCCCTAGAGGCAGCTCACAACAAGGGGTGCGCGCACCACACTTTGGGAATCGCTAGCTTAGGGCAAAGACGGAGAGGATCCTGCACACTGTCGCAGCAAGAAGACAGAGAGGTATTGAGAAAAGGGGGAGCAAATGAGCGATGCGTGTCCTGCTATTTGCTTCTTGTTAGAATGTGTAATGAGAGCAGGGACTCCACCCGACTCTTGAGTTGAAACGTGTGTGATGTAAACAAAGCTTTCCAGTCCATTCTGTTTACATTTATTATAAATTCATAAAGTGGCTTAGTCTCCTTTACCGTCTGTCTCACCCTCTGTTTCTCTCATGGTCCGTCTCTGGCTGTCCATTTCTGTCAGTCAGAGTTCGTCTTTCCAGGTTATCAGTCTGTCTTTTCCAGCTCACGCTCTCATAAAATTTTCTTCTTCTTCTTTCCCTCTCTTTTTCCCCTCTCTCTTCAGATTGAGACTCATGTTGACGGGGAGCGCGTGCGCTACTTCCAGGATGATGACAACGTGGGTCTGAAGGAGATGGTGAGGAGGGAGAAGATGAGCTCTGCTCAGGATCAGAATGCCCTCTACTCTCGCATGGCTGCCAAGGTAAGAAGACATTTGTTTAACTACAAACTTGCAACTGCTGGGCAGCGCTGAACATAACTTGGAAACGAGGCTGGCAATTTAGGATGTTGATAATTATTTCCATAATTATACTAGGAATTCAAATACCTTGTAGAGTTTTGTTTAAATTCAGTGTTACTCACCAAATATGAAGTGTGTGTATCCTTGAGGTAGAGAGCAAACATGATGAATGCATTTCCTTCCTCATGAAACATTTGCAAACCAATTGATTAGATTTGGATAGATTTTTCAGCTGAAGTTTGAAACCTGCATTGTTTGCAGCCATGCTCACTAGCAAGAGTCTTCTTCTCTGTGTTTGTTGGAGCGTCTCTTAGTGAATTACTGCCACATATGGATCAGTGGATTAGCGTGAAACCATTGGCTGGACTGTATTAATTTAGATTGTTTTATTGTTTAAGCCTCAAAGCTTTGAGCACACTGGAGAACCATTTCTCTGGGCCTGGTAGGGCATCTGGATTTTCATAGAGCCGAGGGGGCTGTTTTCCCCTTTGTTTCTCATTGCTTTGCTTTCTCTGACTAGTCAAGTTGGACGACACCTCAAGGGATGTGTAATTTGCTGTGGACACAGCAGTTTAGTTGGGTTAAAAATAGTCAATGAGTGCAGGACAGAACAGTTTGTACCTGAAGTTGGCAAACTCAAGTAAAGCAGATCGAGTTGGTGTGCACCTTTACCAGTTGTTGCAGTCGCTCATAACAAAGATGGATACATTTAAAAAAAACAATCAGTCACTCTGTTTTTTAGTTATTTTGTAGTCACATCGTAACTGTGAACTCATACATTTTTTTATTAGGTAGTAATTAAATGAAGTGGGAAATGCAATAGAGGGAAGTAGATTTTTGGCATGTTAGTTTAACTGTACTAGTATAAGAACTCTACAGTGGTTATCCATTTATTTAGAATAATATTTGAAGTGATTGTAATCTGTCTGCAACATATTGAATGTTTTGGATTGAACCCGCTGTTTCAGAGCCACTGCCATAGGCAACACTGCAGCCAAGGGATAGACATTTTTATCAGTTTCCTTAATTGATTCCAAAATTAAACACAAGTTCTAACAAGCTCTGTAAATGTGTAAGGTCACATGAAAGTGTGCATGATATTATTTTTGATTCTTGACTCATTTTTACTTGTACATGCATTTCTGTATACTTAACTGCTGTTTTATTAGCAAAGAGCAATGGAAAACATATCAGGCAGCAGGTTTTTCATTCTTACCCAACAGACATCAGCGGCAGCAGATTAGATCAGCTGTAACTGAAAACCTTTAAATGAACAACGTGTGGACGGATGCTCTGCAGACGCACAGATAATGCTGTCCCACCAACACATACTGAAGGTTGCTTTGTCTGATCAATCACATTTGCTAAATGGATTATCCATCCCTGCTGCAGTTAAATGAAGGCAGACATAGTGAGGTGGAATGGGGATCCTACAATGTTCCACTGCTGACTGTATGAGTGTTTATCTGAAGGATCGGCTAGATTAACTCTGTCATTCTTCCCTCAGGAAGAGGGAAAGGATAGATGTTTAGCATTTGTTCTGTCAGATTGGTGCATTTGCTTCTGTGTCGCTATCCATTCCTCTCCTCTACTACTCTTACATCTACTCGTCTCCCTCTGTGAATCTCTCTCCTCCACTGTGTGCTTGAAATAGACATACAGCAGCAGATGGGTACTGGCAGGTTGTGGTGCGTGTGTCAGTCTATCAGCAGTTTTTCAGACTGCACTTTTCCATGAGTGGAGACGCATTTTGCTTCTTCTCTTTTCTTCTTGTTTGCTTCTTCCTCTCTCTGTAGCTATGAATATGACAACAAGTAGTGTGGAAAAATCCTACTGACACTCACACAATCACTTGAATTAACTCTTATATTCATTACACAAGCATGTGTATAAAAAAACACACGCACACGTTCTGCACCTACAACAAGTGACACTAAAAATACATCTACAGTTACCATGGCAGGGCTTCTATAAATACCAGTTTTATCCATTGGTCAGAGACAGAGTCTCTTATGTTAGCAGACCAGCATTGTCTGAAGACTAAATGTAGTGTGTTTTTAATAAAACATGAGCAGACTGCTAGACATATGTTAAACCCTTCCACTCTCCTGCTACATGCTGATTTTGTCATTTATTATTTAATTGCATCAAGAATGTGTCCATTTATCATTAGCGAAGACGTGCAAAGAAAAACAACATCAGCAGGTTAACAGCAATGATTTTTGATTTATTACTATTTAACTATATTACTATATTATTGCGTGTGCGTGTGTGTGTTTAAGAAAATAAAACTGCTTTTGGACAATGAAGCATGTGGTGCAGCACTCTTCAGTAAAGTCGTTTGCAGACACTCACTCCTACACACACACACACACACACACACACACACACACACACACACACACATTCCCTCCCACACTGCCACTAAACTGATCCAATTTTCACACACTCACTCCTACACAGCGAGTCATGCACACACACTTCAGCTGCCTCTCGCTCTCTCGCTATGAACACAGATTTCAACCTGTTGCCCCGTCGCCATGGCGACAAGACTCAGACGTAGAAAACGCCGGAGTCGATACTTGGCCTCCTGCTTCAAACTGTTAACACACAGAGACCAACTTGCATACAGGCCGGTTCAGGCACATCTCACACACACGCAGAATGTGGAATGTGGCGTGGAAACGGCACAGACGGTAATGTTGCGTCAGCACCTGCATATACCAATTGGTGAAGGTACCGGCCAGTTCCTAAGGACAGGCGATGTCTCTTCAATAGTTTTTAAAGGATTTCCATGGCCACATACACCGTAAAAATAATTTACTACTACTATTTATACTTTAGCATGTTCAAAAATGTGGCCAAGAATGATCACTGCGTTTCTCTCTTCTTCCTCTGTATCTCCGTGTCTTCCCCCACTTCTCTTCCTCAATCTTGTCCCCATCGTCTCCTTCCCCGCCACTTCTATTCCACTTGACTCCCCAGATGATGGGGAAGACAGACGGCGACAACTACACGCTGGATGACATGTTTGTCTCGAGTGCAGCGCAGCGGGAGGGCGAGGGGAGGGAGGAAGAGAGGATGAGGAGCAGAGCCATTGGTGACAGTAGGAGGCTGGCGGCCTCCATGGAGAAATGCCACTACTGCTTCAGCAGCCAAGAGCTCCAGAAGCACCTCATAGTGGCAATAGGCAGCAAGGTAAGGGATCATGAGTGTAAGCTGCCAAACTTTGAGGGGAAATCGCTAGTCGCTTGACGGATTGATCAACAATTTAAAAGTAATTTATCAAGCAAAAATGAAAATCATTTACTGGTTCATGCTCTGATTTGTTCTTTCTTTCTTTCTTTCCATCTTTCTTTGTGTCTTTGTGTCTTTCTTTCTTTGGGATCTTGTGTCCAGGTGTATCTGAGCCTGCCTGCGGGAGTGTCAATGACAGAGGGCCACTGTCTCATCTGTCCTCTCCAACATCACTGCTCTGCCACTGGATTGGATGAGGATGTCTGGTCAGAAATGCAGGTTAGCCAATCAGTGCTCCCAAGTCTTATCAATCCAGGCTACAGTGACAACTTCCATGACTGTGGTTGTCCAGCAGTGGTAGATATATATTTGGATCCAAATGCTGTTTTTATTTTCACTGTTTACTTCAAACCAGAATGATTCAGATCATAACTGTGCCTGCTCTGCTGTCCTCAGCTGTTCCGGCGTACTTTGGTGCGTATGTTTGAGTCCCAGGAGCTGGACTGTGTGTTCATGGAAACACACATGAACCCACGCAGAAGACAACACATGGTCCTAGAGTGTATCCCTCTACCCCGAGAACTGGGAGATATGGCACCCATATACTTTAAGGTCCGTAAGGATAGGTTTGCGTTTAATGCATAAAAGAAAATGTGTGAATGTCCTCACAAGTGTGGTAATACAGCATTTTCTTTGTGCCCTCAGAAAGCTATCATGGAGTGCGATGAGGAATGGGCCATGAATAAGAAGATTGTCGACCTCTCTTCAAAAGACATCCGCCAAGCTGTATGCACTTTTTTGTTTTTCTTAGCATTTCTTTGGTTTTTCCTTCTCTCTTGCCATATTTGTTTACTTCATACCCTTCTTTCTTTCATCTTTCCTCTCTCTCCTTTCTGTTTTTATTGTTATTTTCTCCTATCCTTGTTAATTGTTTGTTTAATGCCTCCCAGGTTCCTCGAGCTCTGCCCTACTTTGCTGTAGACTTTGGACTACAGGGAGGGTTTGCTCATGTCATTGAAAATGAACAGAAGTTCCCCCATTACTTCGGCAAGGTCAGTATGTGCATCAGGGCTGTTATATTTGGTACATCATTATGTGTTCCTCTATTTTTTATTTTTAGCTAGTAGATGGCACCAATTGTAGAGGAACCAGTTGTTCCACTGTTGCAGCACCGGCATAGTCACAATATTCAACTGGGTTGGTAAAGATCCATTAATGACATGTGAAAAATGGTGTACTTCCAAATGTTTGTAATTCTGTCTGCGCTGCTTCACATGAACACTGTAAGGGTTTGAGGTTGTTCTTTATTTGAGTCATGTTTTTTTTCTGCCATAAAAAATTTATTCCAGTTACTTTTACAGCAATATTTCAATATGATCGATCCCTCTGTCCCTTACAGGAAGTGGTTGGAGGCATGATGGACTTGGAGCCACGACGTTGGAGAAAGTTGATCAGAGAGAACTTTGACGATCAAAGGAAAAAAGTCCTGCAGTTTGCACAGTGGTGGAAACCGTACGACTGTACCAAGACTCAGGGCTAGCTAGTGAAGACACACATGTACAAACATGCTGTGTTTGTCAGTGCAGGAATCACGTTTGGTAAATATGGTGCAGATGTTGTGGCACCTACCAATTAAGAATTTGATGTAAAAAGTTATAATGTGTGAACATTTTATTTACATAAATAATAAAATTACTTTAATCATCCATTTGTTGTTATTTTTTACCTTACATACCAGACATTATTATTATAATTATTATTATTAGTATCACTACTACAGATATTATTCTTTAAAAGCCCTCAAGAATCTCATTCCTCCTTCATGCAGTAATACTACATAAAAAGACTCTAGGGACTCATTGTATTTACATATGGGTACAAAAGATTTTATTTATATTTTGAGATGTAAGAGCTTAATATTGCATTTATGTTGTGACTTAGTTGACATGTTATCTCACTTTATGCCACATATACAGCTAGGTTGGTGGGTAGTGGAACATTTATTTAGTAGCTTCTTGCAGCTCGGACATGAAAAAGAGATGAATCGGAGCTGTGTCTGTGTCATAGCCCCTATTTTTCAAGCTTCTCTTGCTCGTACTGCTCTTCCCTGCTCTCCAGCCCTGATATTTCATATCTTACCGTGTAGCCTCACAGCCCTTCGCAGCACTCACTTAATTCTAAGAGGTTTTGGTGTCATCACAGCCAAAGGTGTGAGAGCATACACAAACGTACATGAGCCACCCTGCACCGGCATGCGATCTCATCATTTTCTTCAGCCAAGCTATTGGCTCTTTGATTAGCTAGATCACTTCAGAGACCCACCTTATTACCAGGTGTCATCTCAGACACCATGTGGTGCATGGGTGCAGTTGGTTAGTGCTGAATTTGTGTGAATCACTAAATATGAAGATTCTCATTGGCTCTTTATTGCACTATTTGTATCTAGCAGTGGTCACTAGAGGGGAAAGCTTCAGAATCAGGATTTTCTCCCTCTTAGGGGCTCTCTAGTGTCAGTAAAATAGACAGTGCTCTCCTTAATGAGTCATTCCCTCTTATCAGAAACATAAGGGAGACACTATCTGGTAGTCATAGGAATTGATTTCACAGGTAGATTCTGTAGTCAGTCAGATTTTAATTTATACATGTATGTATATTTGTGTATATTTGTATAAATTTTAGTATCCAGGCAGCAGTCCATGTCAGCAAGAACACAGGGGAATGGAGAAAATGAATTTCTCTGTCGAGGATGCGCTGTTTATCATTAGTATTATTAGCATCACCTTGGTAAGACCTGTTTCATTGTAAAGATCAGAGAGCAGTGCCGACCATAGTGTCTCTGCAGGTATAGGTGGTCAATGGACTGGATTATCAGGGCCAGTTCCACTGTAAACCCGCAGTAATTCAATTTGTCAGCCATCTCTGCTCACCACTTGAAAATTATGTAACTGCCAAAAAAGAAATCCCCACAATCAAAATATGTATTCAAAGGTTCAAAGATAATCCAGCTGAATTTGTAATGTGGTTTTTAGCGTAACACCACAACATGCAATTTGCTACTCTTTAACCTGATTTTTTACCTTTAAAACCTACTCTTGGGACAGTACAGCATGCTATTTATATTTCCCAAGTGACAGAGAGGCCCAGGTTCATGGTTAATAGCAGTAGAGTGGGGTGGAGTGATGTATGGTTATGGCCAATTAGATTGGCTGAGGGCAGATTTATGACCGATACAGCCATTTCTCTCTCCCTGTCTCTGCCTCACACATACACACACACACATGCCCTTTCTAGAGTTATTTTGCAAACCTTCACACCATGCAGTTTTGTCCGCTGTAGCTGTGTTTCATTCAGTCATTCACTCACTCCTCCTTGGGTTCTGTTAATATATGCTATTTCTAATCATCTCATGTTCTCTTTTTTAACAAAGTCATTCTGTGTCAATGGCATGCAAGAGACACAGATTAGACAGAAAGATATAAGCAAAAGCACACATGGACTTGCCACAGACACACACACACAGAAGAACTAAAATATCTAAGCGTCTCTCTGTGTTTGTGTAGTTGGCAATACGTGAATGTATTGAGTGTTGTTTGTGTCTGTGTTACTGTCAGCTTACAGTACTAAGAGTTTTAGGCAAGTATGGATAAATTGCTGTAAAGTAAGAAGGCTTAAAATAGACATGTTAATAGATTATATTTATCAATTAACAAAATGCAAAGTGAGCGAACAGAAGAAAAATCTAAATCAAGTTAATATTTGGTGTGACTGCTCTTTGCCTTCAAAACAGCATCAATTCATCTGACACAGAATCAGCTGTGTAGGAGGAATATAAAAACTGGGTGAGAACTCCACTAACAAAGTGAGGTTACTGCATCAGCAAGGTATCTCTCAGGCATAAATTTCAAGGCAGGCAGGGGGTTCCAGATGTTCTGTCCAAGCTCTTTTGAAGAAGCACAAAGAAATGGTCAACGTTGAGGACCGTAGGCGCCGTGGTCAACCACAAAAACTTACTACAGCACATCATTCACACAGCTGCTACCCCCGAATCAATATGCCTCCTTCGAATCCCATGCTGTCTTTGTGTCCGCTCTGGTAAAGGTGATTGTCATATACCGTTCACCAGGACAAATGGGTAACTTTGTGGAGGAGCTAGACACACTGCTGTCTTCAATCCCAGAGCATGACTATCCCCTACTTGTCCTCGGTGACATGAACATTCACTTAGACAATTCAAACTCAGCAGACTTCCTGTCTCTGATTCAGTCCTTTGATCTAACACGGGTTCTCAGCCCCCCAACCCACAAAGCTGGCAAAGTGCTTGACCTCGTTCTTGTTCGAAACTGTGCCACAGAGTGCCTAACAGTCACACCTCTACATGTGTCTGACCACTATTTCATTCAGTTCACGGTATGCCTACAGGAAAAGCCCATTCTTCCAACACCATTGGTTTCACACCGCCACAACCTCTGCAACCTGTCTCCCGCTCACTTTGCCTCAGTGGTAGCTTCCGCTCTACCCAACCTCAACACATTTTCCTCACTTGAGGTCAATGATGCCGCACAATCTCTGTGCTCTACACTAAGCTCGTGCCTGGATAGCCTGTGTCCTCTATCCACCAAGCCTGCTCGCCCAAACCAGCCCCACCCTTGGCTAACTGATACCATCTGTGGGCTCCGTACTGATCTCAGAGCGGCTGAAAGAAAATGGCGAAAAAACCAAAGACCCCACCGACCTTAGGGGCTACTATTACTCCTATCCTCCTTCTCAACAAGCATCAGTGCTGCCAAAACTGCGTTCTATAATGACAGAATAAGCAGTGCCACTGACTAAAGGAAATTATTTTCCACTTTTAAAGCGCTACTAAATCCTCCTCCACCTCCACCACCCTCAAACTTGTCTGCTGATACCTTTGCCGCCTTCTTCACAGGCAAAGTGGAGGCTATAACTAGCCAATTCTTTGAAACACTCAAACTCAACCATTGTAGCAGTCCTACTACATCTTTTCCTCTGCCCTTCCAGGTCAGTGGTTGTTCACTCTCCTCGTTTACTCCTCTCACAGAGAGTGAAGTATCAGAACTCTTGACCCGTAGCCGTCCGACTACATGCCCACTGGACCCGATTCCTACGAATCTCCTCCAAGCCATATCTCCTACTGTGGTCCTGACAATCACTCATGTGATAAATACTTCTCTGGCTTCAGGAACCTTCTCGGCCACTTTCAAAAGGGCTCGGGTTACACCCTTGCTCAAAAAGCCCTCACTTGACCCAACTCAAGTTGAGAACTATCGACCAGTGTCTCTTCTACCTTTTTTTATCCAAAACTATTGAACGGGCAGTATTCAAACAGGTCTCAGAATTCCTCTCAGGGAATGACCTCCTAGATCCATATCAGTCTGGTTTTAAGAGTGCCCACTCTACTGAAACAGCTCTTAGCCCTAAGGTCAGCTAAAGCTGCAGCCCAATCCTCAGTTCTTATCCTGCTTGACCTATCAACCACAGGATCCTGCTCTCCGCTCTCTCAGCAATGGGCATCTCGAGTAAAGCACTCCTGTGGTTCGAATCCTACCTCTCGGGGGCGTTCCTACAATGTTTTGTGGCAAGGACAATTATCCTCCTCCCACTGCCTCTCCACAGGGGTGCCCCAAGGCTCAGTGCTTGGGCCCCTTCTCTTCTCAATTCACACCATCTCACTGGGGCCGATCATTCGCTCGCATGGCTTCTCTTACCACTGCTACGCAGACGACACGCAACTCTACCTATCCTTCTCGCCAGGTGATCCCACTGTCTCGGCGCGGATCACGGACTGTCTATCGGACATATCTGCATGGATGAAGGCTTGCCACCTTCAACTAAACCTCTCTAAGACTGAACTCTTGGTCATTCCAGCCAAGCAATCTATCCACCATAACATCAAACTGCAAATTGACTCCACAACCATCGCTCCAACCAAGGTGGTGAGAAACTTGGGTGTCATGATTGATGACCAGCTGTCCTTTTCAGACCATGTTACTGTCTCTCGGTCATGCCGCTTTGCTCTATACAACATAAGGAAAATCAGGCCCTATCTCACTCAGTACGCCACCCAGCTTCTGGTACAGGCCATGGTTATCACTCGCATCGACTATTGCAATGCCCTCCTAGCAGGTCTCCCAGCTTGTGCAGTGAAACCCTTACAAATGGTTCAGAACGCAGCAGCGCGTCTGGTTTTTGATCAGCCCAAAAGGACTCATGTCACTCCATTACTCAGTGACCTCCACTGGCTCCCTGTGGCCTCCAGAATCAAATTCAAGTCACTAATGCTTGCATACAGAGTGACTACTGGGTCTGCACCCATCTACCAAAACTCCATAATACAAACTTACGTTCCTTCTCGGCCGCTACGCTCCTCCAACGAACGCCGCCTGGCTCTGCCATCCCTTCACACAAAGCAATCCCAGTCCTATTCTCATCTGTGACACCACAATGGTGGAACGAGCTACCACACGCCATCAGAGCAGGGGCATCCCTCTCTAACTTCAAGAAGCTCTTGAAAACTCATCTCTTCTGAGAACACTTCTCATATAACACCTCTAACTCCTAACCTCTAACATGCACTTCCTGTGCTCTTCTTCTTCTATCTCCTACAATGATCTTGTATTGATTGCACTTTTTGTTTTGATTGCACTTTTTGTTAACTCTTACTTCCTTCCCTAGGTATCTACCCCAT